CAGTATAATAATAAAACCAAAAACAAAATAAAACACATATACAAACAGAGTACACATATGTTTCAAACTCCAATGTGCTTTGAACTTTTATAATTGCATTTTACAGATTGGTTATTGTTTTCACAAGGAGCTCTAAGGAACTACTTTTGGGAGGAAAAGTGACTATTTTGTAAATAAGTCATTTCTGGCTATTTGTGCTTCTTGCTATTCATTCCTAACAAGACAGATGGAAGATAGCATACCTTTTCTCAGGATCATAAGTTTTTCAAATTCTGTTTCTTTCATGAAAGGCTCCCTTCACATTTTCCATTCATGTTAACTGATCACAGTTGATGCATTTTCCAGATGGAGTCATGTATTGATTCCATTAGTCTAAAGCACGGATGGGCATCTTCTGGACCACTAAATGTTTTGGTCTATAACTCCCAGCAGCTATAGTTGTATGCCCATGGTGAGAGATGATGAACTCTGTAAGCCAAAACCTCTGGAGAGCTACAATTTGCCTCCTTAATTTAGACTAAAAGGAGTTCCACAAAGTTGTTTCAGGTGACTCTTGAATCTTTCATTTACTTCTAAAGTCTACAGAAAGGGATCCCTGCCCAACAGCCTTCTTGTCTGAGCTGGTGTACCTGGTCTCAGAGGTGGTGTTGAGAACTCCCAGGATGGTTGTTCAGAGTGGCTTTGCAACATACATATAGTCAACATGCAGAAGGTGCCTTCCAGGGTAGCTCAGGACAAAGTCATAACTGACAAAATCATGTATATATCTTAAATTATACCTTATTCTACACAGCTACACAGTTTATTTGGTGTTCTGCTGTGCATAGATGAGGGGATTTAGGAATGGAGGAGATTATGTGTCTTCATTTCCAGGTAGGTTATCAACTCACATGGGTTCTGAAATACTGCAGGAACAGGGAACCAATCAAGATAGTCCTCTTCTGGAGACTGATGGCAGAGACCGTAGTTTGAACACTGGCTCCAGGCTCTATTCAAAGTGCTAGTATTGCTCTTCAAAGTCCTAAATCATGGGTGGTCAACTTTGGGCCATCCAAATGCTTTGGCCTACAAACCCTATGATTCCTCATGCTGTCTAGGAGTGAAGGGTGCTGTAGGCCGAAACATCTGGAAGGCTGCAAGTTGCCCATGCCTGCCCTATATGATCTGGCCTCAGGATACCTAATAACTGTATACTACTATATGAACTTACCCATATATTCCTCAGAGGATTTGTTCTCTATGATATCTTTTGTACAAACTGAGGTTGCCTGAAAATGGGTCTTTTCAACAATGGCACCAAAATTGTAGGGCTCCAGTTTTGACTAATTTGCTCCATGTCCTCTTTGTTGGTGTTTAGTAGAAAGAAAAGACTGCTCTATGAGATGCCTATTTATGGATACTTATTTATTATATTTGTATCTCATTTTTTCCTTCAAGCAACTCAGGGCAGCTTACACAATTCTTCTCTCAGTCTTATCCTCACAACAACCCTGTGGAGTGGGTTTCTCTGAGAGTCAGTAACTGGTCCAAAGTTATCCAACTGAACTTTGTTGCAGAGTGGAAACTAGAACACAGATCTCTTGGATCCCAGTCCAATGCACTAACAAGTATACCACAGTGGGTCTCTTATGTTATGTCTATTGCGTAGGCAATTAATTAATGGTTTATGTTAAGTTTGATTCATTCATTCAGTTTTATTCAGTGTTTAAATTTGGATTTTATATCAGTGAGCTACCTTGAAGATCTCTTTGCTTCTTTAAAAGTATACCCATAAGTTTAACTTGCACTGAATGTAAAATAGCTGCACATTCACTTACTTTTGTTTCAAAACTAGCTTTCTTTTATCTCTAATATACCTGAACTATGGCATACATATTCCCTTCTTTGTTAAACATTGCTGGTATTTATATGAAACAAGTAGGATAAACATTTTCTATATAAGCGGATACTATGAACTATAGCTGTTGAATATAAATTTTGTCTTTTCCATCAGCAGCACATAAATGGTCTGAATTTAGAAAAAAATCAAGTGGAAGGAAAAATCCTCAGAGGATTTATTCTGACAGCTATTTTATAAGAATTGCCCTTTGCATTTAAAGACCCATGTCAAATATAAGCAGGATGCTAAAGATAGAACAAAAACAGTGGCACATTGCAAGCACACTGTCCTGCTTACACAGCATACAAAATCCATACCAGTGATATTTCAGTATGACAAAGATCATGAAGCTGTGGAGGAAATGTAAACATAGTGCTGTAATCAGTGCTCTACTTATTTTAGGAAGTTGTGCTTCTTTCACCCATATTACCTTCCAAAAACTGGAGAAGGGTATGCAGAGGCCTTCCTTTGAATAAAATAAGTCTCTTTTATCATTTGCGTTTACCCACCTGGACAACATATGTCTGAAATGGAAATGCCAGCATGCCCTGGTCAAAGGAAACAAACTATCTTTTGGATATACTTACACCATACATCTGCTGGAGATACTGCTATAAAAAACATTCCACATTCCCTTGATGACCTAGTATCATTTATCTCTGTCGTATTTATGTCTCCTCAAGGAACAATATTTCCAAGTTATTAAGCAACTTGGCAAACAAGTTTACATAACATTCAAGATATCCATAAAATAAGTTGTTTTTATAAGAAAAACGTTTAACAAAATTCAACAACTTAGGAATTAATTCCTATTTTACACTCACCAATCTCATTTAGCCATAACAATAAACCCTGGTTCATGTTTATGGAAGCAAGTTTTACCATCCTCAGTCTTGTACTCTTCATTTTCCCTCTCTGGCCTAATTTTGTTTCCATTTTAGCATTATCTAATCCTAAACATAATATGCCTAGTTTTAATGATGGTGACTTGAAATAAACCATCTTCAAATTATAGTCCATAAAGTCAGCTTGTTTCAACAAACCATAGTTGTAACTGATGACAGCTTATGAATACGAAACTAAGGCTAATTAAAACTGGAAGCAAACACATCTGATCTCACAGACAAGATGGACAAGGACCTTGGCATAAGCACCTATGCATGGAGTTCCTTCTCCTAGAATTCATCCTCCTACTTCTCTTCAAGGATACCACTGCTGCCAAGATGCAACTCTCTTCAGTCTTGGGATCCCACAAGATAGGGACTTCAGTATTTCAAGTTGGGGTCCAGAGCCAGACCAAGAGCATGACAGGCCCTGTAGGTAGTAGACTGCAGTGGGCCTCCTACTGTGCTCCCCAAACTATACAAGACTTTCTCCACTTGACTACCTGTGAGAAAAGTTAGGTGGGCAATCAGATAGAGATGGCTTTCTTTGCAGTGACCCAATGCCTCCGGTATAAGTTGCCATCAGGAGTCTACCAGGTCCCATCACTGTAGGCTTTTAAGAAGGCCTGAAGATATATAATTTTATTTTTGCCTTTCCTGATATATTACCACTGTTGATGTTTTTATTATTGCTGTTTTTAATTAATTTTTTCCTATTTTTACTGTGTTTTCATTGCCTTTAAGACTGTATCAGCGTTTATTATTGTATGCCACTTCGAGAGCACTGAAGGCCCTTTCTTTGTCATGGCATACAGCACCAGAGAAGAGTGTGGTACAGGCAGTGGGTGATATACATAGATCCTGGGACAGTGTGGCATTAACCAGTGTGCATGATTGCCTTTGTGTTCCTTTTTGTACTGATTTGCACCTTGCCAGGCACTGTATCCAATGCACCATTCTTTTGGAAGTGTGAGAGAGGTGTCCCAATTACCCTTCCTTAGGTTTTGAAGCGTAGCCTGGCAAAGGTGACCCTAGCTGAGGCACAGGTGTCTAATTTGGAGAGCCTCATGACTATGCTACAGTGTGCTGTGATGTCTGAGGGCCTTGGAAAAATGTGATTCACTGGCCATGGAGATGCAGGCCTCCTTCAGACCATCCAAAAAATGTCTGATATCTATTTGTCCACTTTTGGAGACAAGTCACTGAGTAATAATTCTGATCTATAGTTGCTGTGGCCTTGAAACCTTAGACAGTTCTTCCCCTTCCTCATTTAAGTCAAAACCAAATCCCACATCTCCTTGAAATACCTCTGCAGATGTGCTGGGTTTGACACCTATACTATCCCCTTCATGGTTCAAAGACCTGAGAATTGACAGGGCCAGTTTTTATAGCTTGAAAACATTTCATTCAATATTTTATAGGCTTGAAATATCTGATTCAGGCTTCACTATTTCATACAATCATATAATAGTAGAGTTGGAAGGGGCCTGCAAGGCCATTGAGTCCAACCCCCTCTAAGTGCAGGACTGCAAGTTAAAACATCCTTCTCAGATGGTTGTCCAACTGCCTCTTGAATGCCTCCAATGTGGGAGGGCACACAACCTCCCTAGGTAATTGGCTCCATTCCCAGCCAGAAGCCAGCTCCCTGTAACTTAAGCTTGTTATTCCATGTCCTGCTCTCTGGCATGACTAAGAAGAAATCCTGGCCCTCCGCTGTGTGACAGCCTTTCAAATATGTGAAAAGTGCTATCATATCTCCCTCACTCTTTGCTTCTTGAGGCTAAACATGCCCAGTTATTTCAAACTCCCCTTACAGGGCTTTGTTTTCAGACCCGTGATCCTCCTTATCACTTTCCTCTGAACCCCCTCCAGCTTGTCACTCCCCACTTCCATCTTCTTGAGGTACAGTGCCCAGAATGGGACATAATACCCAAGATGGGGCCTAAGTAGTATGAATACTGAGGAAACTGAACTTCATGTGATTTGGAAGCTATAGGCCTCTTAATGCAGCCCAAAATAGCCTTTTTTTTTTTTTTTTTTTTGCGGCCACATCACATTGTTAGCTCGAAGTCAACTTGTGACTTGTAGCATTGTTGAGTCAAATATCCCCCATTTTGAAGCTGTGCATGTGATTCCTATTCAAGGTGCCCATTCACTCAATGTAGGGTGAAATACAACTGATGTAGTAATCACAATGAAAAATAAACATGATAAACATGAAGATAAAATGAGCTAACCTGACTATTTTGTCTTTGCTCTTGAATTGCATCTTCAATCGCTTGAGCAATCTTTTCATGTTCTTTATTTTGCTCTGCTTGCCATACTTCCTTCTCCATGAATTTTTTTCATATTTTCTCTTTCTGCTTTTATTGCTGTTTTAATAGCAGCCTGCATGTCTTGTTTTTCAATCTGTAGGTCAAATAGCAAAGAAAAGTTGGAAATAGATTACTACTCAAACCCATACTTTCTCAAACTATTTATTTACATATGTATGCATCTGAAAATAGAAACAAACTATTGTAGAAGACCCCTGAGTCTGGGTACCTGTGGCAGGAATATTCCTGGACTTCCTCCCAGTGAAGAGGAGAAATAGGAATCATCTTCACTGATGGCTAAGCTTAAAGAGTGATAAGGATTGCAGCATCTGCTCCCCCTTTACGAAGCTCACCTAACTGCCAACTAACCATGGAAAGAGACTTGCACCTACCTACCAAATAAACAGGCCAGATAAGATCTCCCATCGTATGAGAGAAGATGTATCAGCACCCTCTCTGCCTATAAGAGGCAAGCTCTTTCTCTTTCCTTCTCTCCCTCCCCTCACATCACCCTCTGCCATCTCCATCTCTCCCAGTGGCTCACTATGGTGGTGAGAAGTCCATTTGGTTCACAACATATTGAAAGGTTATGAAATGTGTGCTTCCCAAGCTTACACAAGAACCAAAACAGGTAGCTAGAATAAGGACATGCTTTTCACACCATACATTGTTGCTTCTTTTCTGTGTTAGTGAAATCTGTTTTGTGATTTAAATAAATGGTTTTGGGGTATCTTACAAATACAGAGAAAGAAAGATAAAAGATAGGAATAAATTTGTTTGGTTAAGACCTTAGTATAACTCAAAGGACCAACAACTAATAAAACAAGTTTCTATGCACACTATGCTAATTTAGCGTATGTGGAATAAAAGAAACCAATGCCCCAGTTAAGCCAAAATTTAAGAGAAATTCCAATGAAAACTGCTAAATTAGGATCATCAGTATTATTCTCTTTCTTTCACTTTCTCTCTGTGTATACACACACAAAACATATATACACAAAGACATATACAACCCCCAACTGAGAATAATACTTTAATAATATTAAAGAATACTACTTTTTAAATAAGATCACATGAGCTCAGATCTGTAAAAGTTTATACCACAATAAATGTAATAGCCTTTAAGGTGGTATAAAACTGCTTTTTCTTGTTGGAACAGACTCACACCTTGTATTAGAGCCACTGATATAGTTTGACAAGACAACGGGATGATGTAAGATTTCCATTGAGCATAATGATTATGTATTTGTTACAAATATAATAAACCTTTCATTCACAATTCTGCATTCCAGTACTTTTCCAGATATACTTAGCCTGTAATCTTATACACACTTACCCCAAATAACCTCCACTGAATTCAATGGCACTTACTTCTTAATAGATGAATATAGGATTGCAGCTTTTAATAGAATATTTACTTTGAATCACTTTATTCTAATCCCCAAAATGAAAGGCATACTTCTTTCAAAAGTAATTTCAGCAACTCTTTCTGCATGCTCAGCTACCTTTGCAGCAGCTGCCAAGACCTGCTTATTGCTTTCCCTTTCATGCGCCATGCATTTTTCCAGTATTTCCTGCAAATTCAAAACATGAAATCATGTAAAATATATTCCAAAGCATTTAATTTGTTAATCTAATTCTAAAATAGCAGGGCTTTTCTTTTCAAACATCTTTAAAATTGCATGTTCAAGTAAATATTCCTTGGGAGATTCTAACCAGTAACCAGGAAAAAAAAGATTTACTTTTCACAGCCTTTTGTGTGCATCACATTTGTCTATGATTCCATTAGAACACTTTCTGGACCTGATCTTGAGCTTCCTTTGGTACCCTTTTGAATGATGGAGTTTAGAGTGGGAGCACCCTGCCTGTGGAATGTCCTTTCCAGAAAGACTCACCTGGCACCAATGTCATGCGTTTTTTTTAATACCAGGTAAATATTTCTTTTAATTCTCAAAGAATGAGAACTATAAGCATTTCAAGAACTATTCTAGTGCTTTTAACTCATACTGCCAGTTTTATTTTGGTTTGAGGAGCTATGCTGTTTGCATGCATTGCTTCATTCTTTGCATGTTATTTTGTGCACTACCCCACAAACATGGGTCAGCAGGTGGTTCAAAAATGCATAAAATAAAATATAGTGCTGAGGGACCCTTTGGAACCTGGTGGTGAACTAACACAATGAAATCTGGTTCAGTAAAATCCTATACCAAGTCAGCATTAGGCCACTCTAGAAGAAATATTTCAGCCTCGGTAAACATGGACACTATTATGGAATGTTGCCACAATATACCTGAGCAATAAGGAAGAATGCAGGGCTGTTCTGAGCACTGGAGCTCTGTTGCTGCTGTGGAGCATAATCTCTAATCACAAAAGTGTGGCCTGAGGGCAAAAATCAGGCCTAACATGAGACTTTAATTCCCAAAAAGGGAAAGGAAGTGGCATAAAGGAGTAGCCTTAGGGCAAAAATCTGGCCTAACATGAGACTTTCTCACTCTAATTAATTCCCAAGAAGGGAAGGGAAGGAAAGGGAAGGGAAGGGAGAAACATGAAATGAATATAAAATGCAGTAGAAATAATGTATGAAATGCAAGCTCTGGTAACAGAACTGCTAGAACCCAGCTTTGTTCTCACTGAAAAACCTTGAGAAATTTGTCTACTGGTTTTGCCTGCTGCAAAGAAAATACTGCTCTACCCACAAAACCACCATATAAAAGGCTTTTGTTCTTAGCAGAGAGTAACTGGCTAGAATTCAGTGACACTCAACTGTTCACAGTCTACAGAAGCAAATACACAAGGTACCTTAAATTCTTGTGATTGCTGCAACAAGGATTCTTCTGTTTTTTCCTCCAATGCTTTGTGTTCTTTATCCAACATATCAAGCAGTCTCTGATGCTGTAAAACAAGATGGTTCTGTTGGATGATTTCACAATGGCACCAATCAAACTAAGAGCTGGTAAAATTAGCTTTTTTATTCTTGTTCAATTGGAAAAGGTTAGAAAACTGGTCTCTTCAGTGCAAATAGCAGTGAATGGTTATTGCAGGTTATGTTAGATACAGATAAACTGCAATCTTCTCTATGTGCCAAGTTTTGGCAGAAAGCCAAATTACATTAACATAAGCTTTGCTGTTCTAGCATAGTTTTGCTAGTGGACTTAACTGCACAGGCAACTAGTAGTGCAACTGCTATCACTACACAAACACGCACACAAGTAACAATACTTGTACAAATGACTTTTCCCTCTGTCTCCCATATGCACAGGACTCCTAACTTCTAGATAGATAGAGAATGGCTATGTAATTCACAGATTTCAATATTTCATAAAATTATAGTAGAGCTGGAATGGACCTACAAGGCCATTGAGTCAAACCCCCTCTAAGTGCAGGATTCCAAGTTAAACTATCCCTCTCAGATGGCTGTCTAACTGCATCTTGAATGCCTCCAAATGTGGGAGAACCCACAACCTCCCTATGTAATTGGCTCCATTCCTGTACCACCCTAACACTCAGGAAATTCTTCCTGATATTCAGCTGGAATCTGGTTTCCTGTAACCTGAGCAATATGCATGGACCCATCTTGACTGGCCAGGAGTTCATCTAAATGCCAAAGTGTAAAACTGGAGACAGGAGCTGGAACCACTAATTAGGAATACATCTTTCTCTAGTTTTATTTCATCTTTTAAATTAAGAACAAATTATTTTATTCAAAATATTCGACTTCCATTTTATATCAGTATGTATATGTATTTCTTTACTAAAACCAAAAATAAAAACTGTGCATTTGTTCATATCACAGCTATTCTCTTGTATTTTTATGCAGAGATATGTATCTTTAATATACAGTGCAGCTCCGTTTCCTTTTCTGTTTCTTCTGTTCTTCCTGAACAGGCTATATCCTTCAATTGCTGAATTCCAGTCATGGGAGTCATCCCACCAAGTTTCAATTATAGCTATTAGGTGGTATTTACCTTTTTGTATTAATTTACTTTTCTTGTATGTTGTTACACACAGGTGTACTTCTCCCTCCTCCACAGGATTCAGTTTAAAGCCCGCATGATAAAACTTCATGATGTGGCCAACCACATTTTCCAGTCTTTGTAAGGTGCAGTGCATCCCTTGCCAGCAGTCCATCTTCCAGAAAGTGTAGCCCATGGTCCCAGAATCTAAATTTCTCACATCAGGAAGACCTTGTAGCCAGGCATTCACTTGAGGTATTTTTCTTTCCCTGTCCATTCCTCTTCTTTGAATTAGAAGGATTGAAGAGAAAACTATTTGGATCCCAAGTTCTTGACTTTCCTTTCTTAAGCTTCAAAGTCTGATGTGATTTCTTCAAAGTGCTGCTTGGCAATGATATTTGCTCCTGCATGTATAAGAAGGCAGGGATACATGTCAGTGGGCTGCATGAGCTTTGGCCATCTTTCGGTTATAGTTCTAATCTGTGCTCCAGGGAGACAGCATACCTGATGAGTCCATGGGTCTACCTGACATAAATGAGTGTCCATCCCACACAATAGGGAGTCTTCCACAAGTAACACTCTTCTCTTCTTGGTCTTGCAAGGCTTGGTATCATTGGTAATACTTGGCTGACCCTTAGCCTCTTCTTCAATGTTGCATAGTATAACTTGTAGTTCTTCCACAGCTGTCTGCCCTCTAGTCTCATCCTCAAGTAAAGGCAGGTTGCTTACCTGTAACTGTCATTTGAGTGCTCATCCATGTATTCACACCAATGAGGCTTGACATGGAGCACAAGGCCTCAATCAGAGAGAAACGTCCAAAGCTCGGCATCATGGAGTGGGCGGGAGCCCGGCCTGCCCCCTGTGCAGGCAGCAGAAAGGGGGGCGGGGTCTACTGCCCAGTCCCTCAGTTGCCTGAAGACCACATTGACCCAGGTGTGTGAGGGATTTATTTATTTTTATTTATTTATTTAGAAAGCTTCTATGCTGCCCCATTCGCCGAAGCCTCAGGGTGGCTCACAACAATAAATAAATAATAACAATATAAAAACAATGTAATTGGAGACATCCTGGCCAACCTGGGATCCAAGGAATCTGTGAAGAATATAACGGTTACTACGCCCTACCCCAGCCCACACAGGACGAAAAAGCTGACGATAGCCAGCGGGGCAGAGAGCGGGTTGTGTGAATGCACAGATGACCACTTGAAGAATGACAGTTAGAGGTAAGCAACCTGCCTTTCTTCTTCGTGGTTTCCGTGCAATCACACCAATGTGCGGCTAGCAAGCTTACCGTCCAGAAGAGGCTATCGTCACTGAAGAATTGAAGTGAGAATGGCCATTCCAAATGCGCAGTTCTGTCTGGCATGGAAGTACAACTGGTAGTGGCGGACAAAGGTCAAGGGCGTGGACCACGATGCAGTTTTACATATCTCTTGGAGGAAGACACCAGCTAGCAATGCAGTGGATGTGGCTTCAGCAAATGTGGAATGAGCGCATGGGTGGTCCGTCAGCAGGATTCTAGCCATCTCGTAGACAAGGGTGATGGTGCTGGAAACTCACTTCGAGAGTCTTTGGCTGAAGACAGGTTCACCGGCTCTGGGGCCCTCACAGCATACAAAGAAGTGCTCAGAGCAGCAGAAAGGCTCAGTCTGGCCTCTGTAGAAGACAAGGGCCCTCCTGACATCAGGGAGGTGGAAGGTGGCCTCAATGGGGGTAGATGGGTTGGGGAAGAAAGCTGGAAGGATGAGGTCCTGGTTCACATGGAAGGGGATGTCACCTTGGGGATGAAGCGTGGGTCTGGGCGGAGGACAATCTTGTCCCTGTGGAATGTGGTGAAGGGGGCGTTGATCCTCAGGGCAGCTAGTTTGCTGGCACGGCGAGATGTGATGGCCACCAGAAACGCAGTCTTCCAGGAGAGAAGGTGGAGGTCTATTGTGGCCATGGGCTTGAAGGGCCTCCTTGTGAGGAATTGTAGGACCACGGAGAAGCTCCAGGAGGAGGTGTGAGGCTGGACAGGTGGGGCCCAGTTTCGGAGGCCCCTAAGGAAGTGGCATGCCAGTGGGTGAGCCAACACCAAGGACCCTTGGATAGGGGGTGAAAATGGGAGATGGCTGCCAGGTGGACCCTGATTGAGGGAGAGGCCCGCGGTGAAGCAGGACTGTAGGTATGCCAGGATGTGGTCAATGGAGGTGGAGGGAGGGTCGAGGCCCTGTGCTGTAGCTGAGGCCGTGAAGGCTTTCCACTTTGCCAGGTAGGAGCAGTGCATGCAGGGCTTCAGGGCAGCCTGTAGTATGGTGGCGACCACTGGAGGGAGGGAACCATATGAGTCAGAGTGCGATCTTCCAGGCCATCAGGCGTAGGATCCTGAGATCAGGGTGCAGAATCTTGCCCTGGTCCTGTGAGAGCAGGTTGGGTAGGGAGGACAGGTGATAGAACCTGCTTCCTGATAGGCAAAGGAAGAGGGGAAATCAGGGTTGTCTCAGTCACCAGGGAGTGATCAGGATGCAGCTAGTACTGTTATTCTGGAGCTTGGCCACCACCTTGGTGATCAGGGGAAATGGAGGGAAGGCATAGCAGAGGTCCCCCTCCCACTTGAGGAGAAAGGCATCCCCCAGGGACCCCCTGCCCCATCCTGCTCTGGAGCAGAACAGGTCTCATTTGGCATTCTCGGGGGTGGCAAAGAGAATTGGCATCCCCATTTCTTGCACAGGGTGCGGAAGGTGGAAGTTTCCAGTTCCCATTTGTAGGGGAGGGAGGTTGAGCAGCTGAGCGAGTCCGCTAGGGGGCTGAGGTGCCCAGCCACATGAACAGCTATGATGGTGATGCCCCTCTGGATGCACCAATGACAGATGGCAGTTGTCAGAGTTGCGAGGCGGGTGGAGTGTGTTCCCCCTTGTTTGTTCAGGTAGTACACGACAGTGGTGTTGTCTGTGGCTACCTGAACATGGTGCCCTGACAGGGTGTCTTGGAAGGAGATGAGGGCCTTCTGGATTGCTAGCATCTCCAGAATGTTAGTGTGGAAAGGGTCTCTCCCTGGTCTCAGTGTCCCTGCAAGCGCATGTCTACGCAATGGGCTCCCCAGTCTGAGTTTGACGCGTTGGTAGTGACGGTCACGAATGGCTGGAGGGGGGGAGGAAGGACATGCCTGTAGTGAGGTTGGCTGTGATGCACCACCAGTGGGGGGATTCCCTGACCTCTGCTGGTGGGACTAGGTGGGTTGCATGGGGATCTTCGTCCCACACGAAGGATCCCACGAACCACGGCTGGAAAGGTCTCACGTGGAGCCTTGTGAGCTGCAGCACTGATACTGTGGCAGCCATGAGGCCCAGCAGCTTCTGGATGGTATGGGTGGTGGGAGAGAGGTGGAGTCCTACGGCTGTAGCCAGTAAGGTGAGTGTTTCTGCCCTTGACTGTGGCAGGAAGGCTTTGGCAAGGGTAGTGTCCAGGTGAGCCCCTAAGAAGACTATGAACTGTGTGGGGGAAAGAACAGATTTGTCATAGTTGATGAGGAGTCCTAGGTCCTATAGGAGGCGGTGTGTGGTAGCTAGGCCACGCAGCAGGTCTTCCCTAGAGGGGGCCACGAGAAACCAGTCATACAGGTAAGGTAAGTCTGGACACCCTGTAGCCTAAGGTGGGCTCAGACAACTGCCGTGAATTTAGTGAATACATGGGGAGTCATGGCTAGGCCAAAAGGGAGGACACAGAACTGAAAGGTCTGCTGGTCAGTTTGGAAATGCAGAAAATGCCTGTGTTCAGGGTGGATGGAGATATGGAAATTGGCATCCTTCAGGTCGTTGGAGGAGAACCTGTCTCCTTGGTTAAGGAGAGGGAGCATGCTCTGGAGTGTGACCATTCTGAACTTTTTGAAGATGATGAACTTGTTCACCCCCCTTAAGTCCAAGATGGGCCTCAGAGTCCTGTCCTGTTTGGGCACAGTGAA